CTTTCACAAGTAACAAAATGAGACTTACCAGAGCCCTGTAAGAGTTTTTCTGCCGATAAATTCGATTTATTCGCGCAGCATTACATAACTTTCTCTCTACTCCGCGGCGAGAAAATAAAAAAAACAACAACAATACAATATATAGCAACTCAACTACATCATCTGTCAGCCAGAGCGTTAAAAATCATGTAAAATTCGCGAAAAACGGAGGTAGGGACTGCGGGGGAAGCGAAATGAATTATGCCCATACTTCGCTGTATGTAGTTGGAACTGGCAGTCCCGGGGAGGGAAATGGAATCGCAGCAGAACATGACGGAAGCTTTTCGCAAGTTACACACGCACTAGCAGTAAGCTACATTGGTCATGTATTAGAAAAAAATATTATTTCGCATATTTTATTTTAATATCAAGCAGAAAATACGTAATTCTGACAAGGGCTGGGGGGGGGGGGGCCGTAGCCTCGCAGTCCATCCCCACCTGCTGCCACCATTTGGATGCGAACATTTATAATCGAAGGGTTTAGCTGCACATGTGTGGATGTAGAGTCAACACTGACATTTTTGTGCTCCCCTGAGATTCAAAATATAGAAGTTTTCACACAGATGTATTTTCTAGTTCATTCAAACGATATCTACGATAAAGCATACGGGGCTAAGCTAAGAGTGTAAGGTTTGAAGAACAACAATTCTATGTTCGATGAACAAGAATATAGAAATGGCACAATTAATAAGCTACAAGGTGCGAGGAACAAGGAAGAAGATTAGAATAGTAGGATATGAGAAACAAGGTAACTCATAGATCACATACAAAGAGGTCGCAAGGCAAGAGGTCACGTCACAAGAAATGAGGTAACAAGGAAAGATGTCAGAAGTTAAGAGGTCGCCAGAAAGTAAGAGGTCGCAAAGCAAGAGGTCGCAAGGTCAGGAATCACAAGGCATGAGGTCACAAGAGAAGAGCAACAAGACGAGAGGTAAGGTGCTCCAGATAAGAGAACATTAACAATTACTGCACACAATGCAACGCATCGTATAACAGGACAGAAGGAGTGCAATGCGCTGTCTCACCTTCGAAGGTGACCCTGTTGCGCGGCTTGAGGCGTCCAGTGGCCGCGGGGGAGGTGGGCGCGCCAGGCCCCGCCCGCCGCCCCGCGCCCTGGCCCAAGCCCAGGCCCAGGCCCAGGCCCAGGCTGCCGCGCGACGCCGCCACGCTGCCCTGCGCACCGCACTCCGCTTGCTTTCATGCGCACAAGGCAGATATTGCCAAACCGGCGATCGCGAGCTTTAGAAGCTCGCTAATGGCAGACACAGCCTACTTTCCCAACATAAAATAACTTGGTGACAAAAAATAGTGCCATCTTTCTCATTAATAAGCCTCATGAAAAATCTGTTCTTACTTTTATAATTTGTTGCTAACTATATTTCAATTTTTTAGTGCGAAATTTCATTTCAATTTAGTTTTACTGTATATATTAAAATTTGTTTCATATTTAACAGAAATGCAGAGTGCAGACAATAAACAAATGTTAAGATTACATTTTTTCTGTTTTGGTTTCTTGGTAGCTCACAGGAGGATTAATAACTGTATGGTTGCTCACAAGATTCGTAAGTTTGGCGACCACTGTTACAAGGGATGTCTCCCATTCCCTTTCGTTATTCTTATTCAGTCTCCTGTTTACGTTATATATTCGAACGCGCACTCACTACCATGGAACATTACGATAATGATTTTTCGAATATTTTGAGATCGTGAAGTGTATATTGACAAACTATTTTGAAAACGCACTAGTCAAATTACGTACGAAAAATATTGAGCACGAAAAACCAGTCGACACACAACTTCAAAATTACTGGTGCAAATAGCACTTACGAAAGTACTCATTACGCGTCCATATGAAATAGACACGTTTACAAGTAACCATTTATTTCATGCAATCACTAATTGTTTCAGGATTCCCTTATTTAAGAAGTGACTGTATGAATTCGGTAAAGTCACTTATTTACACCAAAATTCAAGCACATATTTCACAAATGTTTGATTTACTTCACGAGAAC